TACACAGAAATAATAGCTTATAAAACCATAATGCAAATATCATGCTGCATCCATGATATAAAACTAAATGGACCAGTATCAATTATTAAAAAAATATAACTGCAAAAGGTTCAAGTTCCTATGTCCTTGTATCAACTGTTTGAATCTGTGAATCGTAAACCGAAATATTTCTATAAAGATTTTTATGCAGTTTCATATTAAATCAAGCCGGTCAGCTGAAATAAAGCAGCAAACTGATAGGACGATTGCTTTATGTGAGAAATGTAGCCCATATACATTTTCATCTCCTTGTCATATAGAAAAACGTCCTAGCTCCTAAAATGTCCGTCGTGACTGTGGCTTTTTGCCACCACCCCCATCTGCCACTGCCCGTTCTCATCCGCTTACCAGGCGAGGGGCAGCTCATCTTGAACAAGCCTTTTGACTTTGGCAGGAGTGACACCAGGGGTGGCCATTCAGGTTCTGGGGCTTGCCAGTGCCACCTTTGGCCACCCCTTGGCTCCACCCATGTCTGAATTGACAAGGAGAAAATAAGACTTTGCCAGTGTTGTCATTTACTTTCAAAGAAAACTGCTGAGACGTTGCATTCAAATCACATCACTGAGACTGTATTTAATTTTAACTGTTCCCAGAAGAACCTTAAAAAAATTAATCTTCCAACAAAGGCATGTGGAAAGATTTTAGGAGTTTTTCATTTATGATTAGATGTAAATATAGCAAGAATGAAAAGGCACAAAAACAGACCTGACTATTTTCCATGTCAGTTCATCTCTATGGAGTTTAACAAAATGACTGTATGATAAAAATACAGTGCAAAAATTTAAGTGCAATGTAGATAAAACTGCAATAAACACTGTAGGATGGTGCAAAGCTTCAGTGTACCAATCCTAAACATATGCCAGTTGAAAGTCTCAGAGTCCCAGGGCGATTTTCTGCAACTCGCATCGTAACAGTGCATTCCCAGCTTCCACACAGTCTGTCACACATGGTGCTGGAAAAGAAAATACAACTGTAACAAGACTTGACTATTGACAAACAGCTGATTTTAACCAACATACCACGTTAAAAACAAAAGATCAGCAATTATCATTACAGTTGTTACCATTCTGAGCCTTGAGCCAAGACACAGCCTTCATAGCCAGAAGCTCCCACTCTTCCTTAGCATCCATCTTGAAACCATGAAGCCAAAGCAGAGCCAGAATGGTGGCCCACACTTCCTTGTTGACCTAATTCAAATCCATCAAAAGCACATGGAACAGGCACAATGGGAGAAAAGATTCATTTACAGTGCATTTGAAAGCCAAAAGGCTCTTAGTACAGCAGGACATCATATCCACATTATTATTATCATATTACAAAGTCTTCAATTCATCGTCAGCTCATAAAAAGTACAACTATAAAGTGTTTAGCTGGTTTGCAGTAAAGATGCCATATTATTTTATGTTTCATGTTTTCTAATATTTCTCCTGCTTGAGTGCTAAAGATTTTAGTTAACCCTTTGTTGCTGCAATTTAATAATAACATTTTGCTTTTAAATAAATAATCAATAATCAGTAAGTGACTAGTAACCCACCGATGCAGGCGATCATAGAGATTGTTAGGAAAGTGGTATGTCTATCTTCACACACGTGTCACCTGAACTAACTCTAGGTTAAGAGTTAAAGATTTATAAATACAGTTAACAAATTGAACTTTTTTGAGTGGAATGGAAAGAAATGCAACATATCAAAATTATGTGCAACATTTTCTTTCATTAACAGGGAAAAAAATGAGTTCCACAACTGCAACATTTCCCCGAAGTACCAGAATGCAACTTGAATGTGTCAAAAATTTCAAATCAAGTTACACAGTCACCTTAACTATCGCACAGTGGAAACATAAATTAAGCAAAAAAATCCATCAAAAGTAAAGGTGACTGCTTTCTTTTCATGTATGGTGGACACATCATGGGCATCTTAGCTGACAAAAAAATGTAAAAAAAAAGAAAACTCACATGAAGCCCTCATGTCTTCCAAATGTCATAGATAGTAATATTCAAATCAATGTTGAAAAGTGGCCTTAACATGCTACACACATTTCATCATAACGGTCAGCTTATTTATCATGCACAGTGCACCTATTTTGGCCATCTTATCTGACAAACAAAACCTCCCATGAAGCCCTCATGTCTTGCAAATGTCATTTGAGTCATTAAATGATTACACTACATTCACAGAAGCACATAAACATGCAGTTAAATCAAGCTGTTCTTGGTACATACCATCAGTCATAGCCCCCAGATCATTTTCATATGTCTCATGATCATAATAATCTGAAAAAGCATACAATGGCTGCAGAGAGCTGAGATTGCTGTTATACACACCCCAGATATTACGTCACACAGTGATGCAACCTGTTAATCCCTCCTCCACTCATAGCTCACACAGCTATGAGTGGATCGTCAACTTCAGGTTGACAATCTAAACTTGAGGAGCTGTTAACAAGAGCATCTGAAAAAGCATACAATGGCTGCAGAGAGCTGAGACTGCAGTTATACACACCCCAGATATTACGTCACACTGTGACACAACCCGCTAATCCCTCCTCCACTTATAGCTCACACAGCACAGTCAGTCCTGGAACTTTTTTGACGCACCTCATACAGTTAACAATTTGAACATTTTTGAGTGGAATGGAAAGAAATGCAATATATCAAAATTATGTGCAACATTTTCTTTCATTAACAGAGAAAAAAATGAGTTCCACAAATGCACATGAAGTTGGGCTGTTTTTGTTACATACCATAAGTCTCCAGATCATTGAAATCTGTCTCTACATCATCATCTGAAAAGGAGAGTGATT